GGATGTTCTGCAATATTAGAAGCAATGACACCTCCATAATCCTTGAGTTCCACCTACTCTTCATACCACCTATGGCAGTAGCATTGGGAAGCCCAGAGGCTTGACTTCAGTTGGCATATTAGTACTTGTGATCCATGGAATAATTTAATTAACCATTTCGATACTATTGACCGTGGGCTGTGAAAATTCAGTTCCTCAATGTTAGCTGGATTCTCTTTGCCTTTATCTCAAACCAGGTAGTAACGAATCTCAGTTTTCCAGCCACCTTCCAACCTGCACCAGCACCTTTCCCTGAGGATATACTGCCTACAACTAACCATTCCTGGTAAAAATGTATCCAGCAGTGGATCTTCTTGGAACAATATTTAATGGGTAGTTTCAGATTTACTGAGAAAATAGGCAAGAATAAAGAGAAGCTATGCAAATAATACCCAGTCAAAAATAGGACCAGAAAGCTGGCTGTTGGTACACTGCTACTGCAGCCACTGAGCACAGAGACTGCTGTTTGCTCTGTTGTCACCCCTGGTATTCAATACCAGATCCAAAGGTTGGCAACACAGACACTGTTGTGCCTGCCAACTGGCTGCCACTGCCACTGACACCAGAAAGAAATCTCCACTGTCCTTGTTTCTTTGTGTCATTAGTTTCAAATTCAAAATCCCAGATGAGTGCATCTGATTGGCAGAGTCTAAGACAAGTGCCTACATCCCAGCTGGCAGAGGAGCTAGAATATTAGGTGTCTGTTCACTGCAGCTTCTCTTGGGAGAAGCAAGGCATCCCTCAAATACCAACTGGGTTCAAAGGCTGAACACCAATAATTACAAGTGTCCATTACACATATAATGCTCTGGCAAGAGCCACAGGTTGTAATAGGTGCACACGGCGCTGTTTTGGTTTTCAGCACAGTGTCTATCTCACAGCAGGCACTAAATACATAGCAATTGCTATTCATACTGTTAAAAGCTATCATAATTACTATCATAATCATGGTCATTATCACTAAAAAAAAATCAACCTATAGGGATCAATGGATAAGGAATGAGATAACAAAAGCGCCAGGTAGACTGTACAGACCAAAGACAAAGAGGCCTAGATGGCCCCTCCTGATGCCATGATACTATATAAGACTTGCCAGAAATTAGGTACAACCCCAGGGATGGGGGAAATTCTAAATTGACTAAAATGGATGGATCAGAGACTCAAAACAGAAAATACGTTGTTACAGAAAATCCATAAGAAGTATATTTCTTGCATACTTAATTATAGGCTGATTTTTATACACACTACATGTATTTTCAGGTGCATAATGCCAGGTAAGCAAGGTGCCTGTGTAACACTTCAGAGAACCTGCCACAGCCATTGTCCTTTGTATAATAGTCTGTGAGTTCTTTACACATTGGCTACCATGGATACCAGATTGCCTCACCCCAATGTGGCTTTCCACCTTCTCCCATGCATAAGTTATACCTACTTCTCCAAATCCTGGAATCTAAACTAGTCTTTTAACTTGCTTTGTGGTGGAAGTGATGTTATTTGAGTTCTGAAGCCTAAGCCTACAGGGGCCTTGCAATATCTGCTTTACCCTCTTGAAATGTTGCCCTAAGAACATTAAATTATGAAGAAGTTTGTGGTTAAAGACAACAGGGAAAGAGGCTAAGACATTCCATTTGTCACAGCTGAATCCATTTCATCCAACCTACATGAGTGAATCCAGGCGAGATAAGCAGAACTGCCCAACCAACACATAAAATCATAAGAAATAATACATTGTAACTGTTTAAATCTAAATTTGGGATTGTTTTTTACTGTCTGGCCACCATGTAAACTGGCCTAGCCTAAAGGTAAATAAGGGGCCATTCCAGAGGAGAGTCAAAGAACCCCAGATGACTGCCAGTGCCAACTGAGAGACATCTGAGTGGGCTCCGTTTGAACCCTCCCACCTTCCACAGAACACAGCAACACTAAGCTCATGTAAAAGCAGCAAAGAAAGCCCAGTCTACAGAAACTTGAAAAGTAATAAATCCTTGACTTCTCTCTTTCTCTCTTATTCCCCTTTTTTACCCATTGGCAAATCCTGCCAACTTTACCTTCCGATACATACTGAATCTGATCACTTCTCAGCTCTCACTCATACTGGTCCAAGTTATCATCATCTCTTGCATGGATTATAAAATGGCCTCCTAACAAGTCTTTTTGGAATAACTAAAATATTGCACAACTTGATTGTGTTGGATACATGACTATGTACATTTGCCAAAACTTATTGAGCTGTACAATTTTAAAAGGTGGATTTTACTTTAAATTATAAATCAATAATCTTGACTGTTTAGCAGTGGTTCTCAACCTTTCTAATGCCGTGACCCTTTAATATAGCTCATGTTGTGGTGACCCCCAACCATAAAATTATTTTCGTTGCTACTTCATAACTGTAATTTTGCTGTTATGAATCATAATGTGATTATCTGTGTTTTCCGGTGGTCTGAGGCTCTACAGCAGCGGTTCTCAACCTGTGTTGTCACAGGTTGAGAGTATGTTTGGGACAGTGAAACAAGGAAGAGCTTATGACAGAAGCAATAGGGATAGGGAAGCCTAGGCAGAGCTGCTTTGGCTCTCTAGAAACATTATGGGAAAGAAGTGAGCCAAGTCTTAACGGTTTGCTCAGTGGTTAGAGGACCAGCACTTGAAATAGTCATGGGTTCTATTATCAAGAGCACATAGCTCTGTTACAGGCTCACAGGCTGGATCCTGGCCTTGGGTTGGGGTGTGTGCAGGAGGCAACCAATGGATGTTTTTCTAACTCCCTCCCCTCTTCCACTCTAAAAATCAATGGGAAAATATCTTTGGGTGTGGGGATAAGGGAGATCAACCAAAGGACTTGTATGCATGCTTATGAGCCTAACCAATGGTCATGGACAACTGGGAGGTAGGGGCATGCGTGAGGAGGAGTTTGGGATGGGAATAGGGGCGATGAGGACAAATATGTGATACCTTAATCAATAAAGTAATTAAAAATAATTTTTTAAAATATATCCTTGGGTAAGGATTTAAAAGAAAAACAGAAAGTGAGCCAAGGTAGGACTGCTCTCAGCTCACAGCAGTCAGACAGAGAAAAGAGGTCAGGCCCCAGGGGATAGCCCAGGACAAGGGGCCACTGCCCATTGCTTCCCTGGTTGCAAGTGTCATGGGGTCCCTTCAATTTAGGCGATTCATGCACCGGTAGGGGAAGAAGAGAAAAGAATGGGAGAGAAGGGGTGTGTTCCCAGGAGAGAGAGCCCGTGCCTGCTCTAGAAAATTAATGAACCCAAAGAAGGGGTCTTGGGAACCTCTGATTTATAGCCAGTTCGGTTTAAAGCACCAGTAATAACCGGGACTTGTCTCTGGCCAGGGGAGCAGGGAGTCTTGTGGCACAGAACCCCTGACCCTGGAATCAGACACTGTCTCTGAGTTGAACTGTAAGACACTCAGCTAGAGTCTGGTGAGTAACTTGGTGCTGTGTGAAAACCCCACCCCCCTCACACAATGAAAATTTTGTCTCAGAACCATTTTAGGCAGAAAAGTTACAGACACGAGCAAGACACATCAGCAGTTGTCTACCTGATTTATTAGCACTGGTTTGATTAAATCAGTGGGAATATATCTAAAGAAAGCTGACTGAAGGCTCTTACACACAATACAAATGCTTCTCTCATTACATTCTTTACAGTAGCACAAACCCTATAAAACTCTTCCTCAGACCTTCCCCCACTTAAGAAAAGTCGTAAAAGTACATAAGGCCATAAAAGATTTAGGGAGAAAAATAACCATTTTTTTTAATCCTCCCGATGAGAAAAAGGCTTTTTAAAATATGAAATAAAAATCCATACATTAACTGTACAAATATTTTAAAATACCATGACAAAGTAAAAAACGACAATTGGGGAAAAATTATTTTTAAGATAACAAATGATCAATTTCCTAATTCCCACCCCCCAAAATGATTCTAAAATCACTAACAAAATTAAAAATTAAGAAGAAAAACTATTTTCGATTAAATGTGTCAAACCCTACTAACGAGGCCTTCAGAAAGGCTAGGTACATGGCAAGACTAAAAACAAGTTGGCCCTGGAATTTGCTAAGTGATTAGTGTTGGCCTCCAGAGCAAAGGGTTGCAAGTCTGATCGCTAGCCCCGCTGGGAAGCAACCAGTCAATGTCTGTCTGTCTCTCTCTTTTTCTCTCTCTCTCTGCCCCTCCTCTCTTAATAAAAATAAAATTAAAAAAAACTCTTTTGACGAGGATTAAAAAAATATTTGTTTGGTTGTCAGTCTACATAAAGACTCTGAAATTCCCTTTTATTCCATCTAGCCAGATTCATGCACATACACATTCAAAACTATAAATTTTCAATTTGAAGTCAATTCTAATAGGTTTTCAAGTCTTTATAATAGCCAGAATTTAGATAAGGAAATACCAATGTATGGTTTCACAAGGTTATCAAAATTCTGTGACAAATCTTTCATTCTTTCCAAATTATCCCAACAATCCAGGGAAATATGGCCTGGTCAAAAAACATTTGTTTCTAAACCCAAAACTGTCACTTTCTGGGCTAATCATATCACATATTCCTTTGTTCTTAGATTATAAGAAAACTAGATTAGTAAATTTTCTCCTGGATTAAAAGTTTATTTCAAAGCTAAAGCTAAATTTATAATTTTTTAATTTGTCTTCAAAGAGTAGTCACACCACTCTAAAAATGTACATATGTGGATCCTCCTTAGGGAGAAAAAAAAAAAAATAAATAAAGACTAAATTATGATCACCCCCTTCATGCATCCCAGCATATATATTTTTAAAGTAATAAATCAAAAACAATTCAGAACATGCAATGATGTCTTTTATTATGTATGGGTTTTAGAAATTATTTCCTCAATCTCTCCATACACAGGCAAAAATGTACTGTTTAGCATATTAGAATTTGCAAAACTGATCACTGGCTACAGCAGGGAAAATCCCCAAAACATGCTTAACCAGGGGGCCAATTCATCTGCCGCCCTCCAAGAACATGAAGATGAACATGGTAGACAGACTGCCCCCCATCTGTGCCTTCGTTCACTACCATGCGATAACCCTTCTTTAGGCCCAGATCGGCAGCACATTTCTTGCCAACAATCATTAAATGTCCAAGAAGCTGGAAAAGAAGAAAAAGTTTCTTAAGCACAGGCAGTTTACAACTTTCCATCATTAAATAATGAACTACCAAGAAGGAAAATTAAATTTAAAATTTGCTAAAAACATACTTCTTTGGGCAAATATTTGGAAGCTCTTTTCACCCGAATACAACATAATTTACAAGTAAAAACCCAGTAAGATAAAATATTCATTTCTATTTTCAACTTAAAAATTGGAAACAAAAATCTGCTTAATTAAAACAATTTTTAAATCAAATTGTAAATGGTATATAAGTGTTCTTAATAAAGTAAGACTTCTCCCTTTCTTGTTATGGAGCAGTATGTCAGGACAGATTTGATTAAGCTGTGACCAGGCTCTATTTTTTTCTCTGAAACCCAGGCTGATGGAACAGCCTCTATAATGATATGGTGGCAGAGGGAAGAGAGAAGATGGCAAACCATGTGCTAGCTCTTAAAGTTTCCACTCAAAAAACATAAATCATTTCTGCTTGCATTCATTGGCCAAACCAAGTCCTGACATCAATGAGGCAGCAAGTATAATACACCCCTAAAGAATAATAAATATTTACAAGCAATTATCCAATCTACCACAAAGAACATTAGCAAAAAAAAGTTTTGTTTTGTTTAAATATATGTTATTGATTTTTTTCACAGAGAGGAAGAGAGAGGGATAGAGAGTTAGAAACATCAATGAGAGAGAATCATCGATCAGCTGCCTCTTGCAACACCCGTACTGGGGATGTGCCGGCAACCAAGGTACATGCCCTTGCCCGGAATCAAACCCGGGACCTTTCAGTCCGTAGGCCTAGGCTCTATCCACTGAGCCAAACCAGTTTTGGTGCACAAAAAAGTTTTAATTGAGGCCTATATATCTTAGCAAAACCAAAACATTATTTCTCTTTCCTCTAACAGTATTAACAGAAGAGTCCGTGAACCCTCTCCTGTATGATATGCCATTTCTTTGTTGAGGAAAAAATGAATCTCCTCAACTTTCTGGGGAACCTTTCTGCTTAATAATTTGTGATGACAGATGTTAACTACGATTATTGTGTTGACTGTTTCATAATATCTATATCAAATAACTATGTTGTATATAAAATTAATATATCAATTATATCTCATTCTTTAAAAAATAAAACTATATATTATATTAAAGCCCTAATGATTTTGTTTTCCTCAGTTATGCACTTAGTAAGATGAAAATGTAACCTCAGTTTAAGGTCAAAATTTAGCCTCCCAATTTAAAAAGCAAGAATATTTTGCTAGCTGGCTGGCCTCAGTAATTACAGCGTCAGTCCGAGGACTGAAGGATCTTGGGTTTTAACTCTGGTTCAAGGGCACCTATCTCGGTTGTGTGGCTCTGGTCAGGGCATGTGCAGGAGGCAGCTAATCAATGTGTCTCTCTCATATCATGTTTCCCTGAACCTCTCCCTCCATTCTCAAAAAAAAAAAAATCAATGGAAAAGTATCTTTTGGTGAGAATTAAACAAATAAGTAAATAGCAAGAAAATAAAAATTGTGCTAATAAGTGTACTTACATTTTCATCATCATCTTCTGCTACAGAAATCTGGGATATATGCTTCTTAGGTATCACCAGAAAATGTGTTGGTGCTTGAGGGGAAATGTCATGGAAAGCAAGACACTAAGGAGAAGGGGAGGAAATAAAATCTAAGTTAAGTATATCCTCTTGTAAGCTAAACTCACTTTTTCACACTCCCTGGGAGACACTGTAGTAAATGCTAAGAAACCAATGGTGTATCCAATACATGTGGTTTCCTGGTCCTTTTCATGGAACTTACCAGTCTAATGGGAAGACTGACTTTAAACAAACAAAAGTATAATTAACCAAAAGCCCTACATATTACAAAGTGAAAGTAAAGGGTGATTATCAGAGAAAAGCCTGAGTTAGACTGGGTGGTCAGGGTCAACCACTTAGAAGTAGCAATATTTAAACAGATCCAAAGGATGAGTAGAAATTACCTTTCCAGGTTGACCCCATACAACTCCACCTTCTCAAGTCACCTTCTCCCTCTCTCTCTACCCTAATGGCTTTTCAAGTGCAGTTACCTCTACTGCAGTGATCCTCTCAACCCCAACTTCTGTCTGACTTAAACTGCTGTTTCTATCATTTCCGAAGGGTATCTTCTCCGACTCCCCTGGGCACCTTCCCCAGGTCAGGAGCCCTTGGTTGTGTAATCGCTGGGCTTTTTCCTTGACTGCAGTGATCAGTTTTATTTTTTTTTTAATATATTTTATTTATTTTATATAGAGAGGAAGTGAGAGAGATAGAGAGTTAGAAACATCGATGAGAGAGAGTCATCGATCAGCCGCCTCTTGCACACCCCCTACTGGGGACATGCCCGCAACCAAGGTACATGCCCTTGACCAGAATCGAACCCGGGACCCTTCAGTCCCCAAGCCGACGCTCTATCCATTGAGCCAAACCGGTCCCGGCTGCAGTGATCAGTTTTAAAATCACATATTTGTAGTTACATATAATAAATATCTATTTCTTCCCACTGTACTCAGCGACTTAAGACATACACCTGTTCTCTTTTGTAGACATAAAGAGGATAAGCAGCATGTAGACAAGAACGTTTTCGTATCTCTCTTCCCTATTGAAGGTGGAAGCAACTTTGACCCTATCTTGCTTACCTGTCTCAGGAGTAATTCTACTGCGTCTTCCATACAGAATGCTGAATCATTTAGATGGCTATTGGGACTACCGTGGTTCAAAAGTCATTATTTTAACTATCATTCATAAAAAACAAGTGAAAATATTTCAAAAGAAACGTGCATTCTAGCTGGCTGGCGGGGCTCCATGGCTGAATGTTGACCTATGAACGGGGAGGACCCAGTTCCATCCCCGGCGGGTGGTGGGCCCATCCCTGGTGTGGGGCCTGCAGGAGGCAGCCAATCGGAGATTCTCATCTTGATGTTTCCATCTCTCCCTCTCCCTTCCTCTGAAATCAATAAATATATGAATATTTTAAAGAAATGCGCACTCTCCAAAACAAAAGAATTTCCCTAACTAGTGACAAATAAAGGTATTTAAGTAAAGTTCACCTTGAGAAATCTAAACCTTAGCCAACATTTTGAACCTCTTTAAATGTTTCTCTTATAATCCATATGTCTTAATTTGCCAAAGTTATAGAATGTTGTCCACGTAAATCAGCCAACCTCCTGCCAAGCTTTATCTGAGATCCAAACCATAAAAACAACAGCCCACTCAGCATTTTACACAAGACGGGTAAATTTCACCTAGGGCCAAGTCAGGGGAACTACATTCTGTCTCTGGGCACAACACTGCTTCCGGGAGGCGCCCACGGGAGCCAGTCCCAAGGCAGGCCCGCGGGGCTCCGGTCCGCGGCGAGCGGGTGGGGGGCACCGGCCCCGGGGGACCGGCTCCGCCCGCCCGCCGCCCGCTCCCGGGCCACGCGGCTGGAGGCGGGCGGCCGGCGGCGCGGGAGATCGCGGAGATTGGGCCGGAGCGAGGCGCGATCGGGTTTCGCGCTGTCAGGCAGAGCGCCGGCGAGATTGTCAGATCCTGACCCGCGGAGGCCCGGGGCAGCCGCGGGCCGGGCGGGCGCCCCGCCGGGAGCCCGGCGCGCCCTCCACGTGCGCCGGACCCCGCCGAGCGGCCCCGCGGGCGCCTGGCGGCCGGGCCCGCGCCGGGCAGATAACGCGTAACCGGAGCGGCCGCACGCGCCGCCGGCAGGCCGCTGGCCGGGGGCCCGCGGCGGAGGCCGCGCCGGCAGCCGCCCCGCTCCTTCTTCCCCGCGGCGCCGCCGACCCTCCTCCTCCCGCCGGGAAGCCGGCGTGTCCGCGGGCGGCGGCCCCGCCTCGGCCCACGGCAGCCGCCGCCTACCTGGTCGTCCTCAAAAATGATTTTGGCTGGGATTTCCTTGCGAATGATCTTCCCGAAGATCGTGTCGCCACCGGGCCGAGCGGCCTGGGCCTTGGCGACCTCGTCTGCCATCGCGGCCTCGCTTCCGCAGGGCTCCGGGGGCGCAGCGCCGGCGGGAGGCGGGGGCGGGGGGCGGGGGCCGGAGGCGGGAGGAGCTGGGAGCGGCGGGCGCCGCGGGGACCGCTGCTCGGGGCCGAGCGGCTCTGCGCCTGCGCACAGGCGGCCGGCGCGGCGGGCGCGAGGGAGCGGGAGGGGAGCGGCCCGCGCGACCCAACCTGCGGGAGGTTTCTTCTGGATCCCAGGCTTCCCGAGCCGCGGCGAGGCCGGGGTTTTTTTGTTCTTTTCTTGTCTCAGAGCGTGGAGGTACTCGTATAAGCCAGGTTTCGCTTGCTTTAAGGATCCTTGTAGGAAAACTGGTTGCTGTAACGAAAGATTTCACCACCCAGTGTTTGCTGGGTGACTCACCGTGCCTGACAGTTTCACTTCTCAGCTGCAGTAGGTCTGGCTCCAAGATTTAAGCCCTCCTTGCATCATTTATTCCCCCCTCCAACAGTGATTCTCTACCTGAGCTGCACGTTAGAATCACTTGGAGAGCGTTTAAAAAACCTGCCTGCAACCCAGATCAATTCAATCAGTAGTATGTAAACCTCTCTACCCTGTTGTACAAAGAGTTTTTGCAAGCAGTAACCAACATAAAGTCAAATGCCTCACCTTAAAGTACCTAAACCTTCCTTAACCCACAGCCTCCTCCACGTTTTGGCTCCTTTTTAAGATTATATATATATATATATATATATATATATATATATATATATATATATTTCTCATCTCTTCTGAGCCCATCTCCCTCTTGTTAAAATCATTGAGAACCTCTGCTTACAAAATCCTATAGGTGATTCTAGTTATCAAACTAGACCTCTTGGCACCATTGGCCACTGCTGACCATGACCTCTCCTCAGCAATAGGCCACTCCCCAACCTCTCCGGATGCTATTTCTTCTTTACAGTGAGCCTCCTGTTCCAGGCCTCTCAGTGCATTCTGCTCTTGGCCCTCTTCTCTAGCTAGCAATCTCCAAGTGTCCTTATTAAGAAAAATTAACTACACCTCCTGGACAACCCTAAATTATTTTATTTTACCACTTTCTCTTGGCAAAATTACAGATAGCGGCCCCCTTACATATCAGAAGTTCCCCATTTGTTATTTTTGCTATCAAAGGCATTACTAGGACAATTGGAAAAATCTAAATAATGCCTGTAAATTATATAATAGTCCTGAAAATCATGCTAATTTCTCCATATACCCTCAGCAAAATTATCAAAATCAATTGATATGCCGGTATATGCTGGGGCTCTATAACTTAGGTTTATAAAATGTTTCCCAGTGATGCAGTTGCTGCTGGGCCTGAAACCATACTTGGAGAACCACTGATGTAAGAGAATGTCTTTTTTATAGGAAACAACCCACTAAAATTATTTAGCAGTATAAGGGTTTCATGTTCACAATTCACTGTCAAACAGCAAAGAAGTTTTTTAAAAACCCATATCCATATGTTGATTTTTTTAAAAAAAAAAAGATAAAGCAGTTGTGATAAAATGTTAACATTTGGAGGGTCTGAGTGAAAGGTATCTGAAAATTCTATCATTGGAAATTTTCTGTAAGTCTGACATTGTCAAAAAGTTAAAAAGAAAAATATGTTTAGATAATCTAAAAATAGGTTTAGATATTATTATAGATTTAATTATTATCTAAAAATAGGTTTAGATAATAAATGATATGGTCACCTTTCATTAAGTCTGAGGGCTTTATCATCTACAGAGAAATGACTCTCCAGTATTTATCATCTAACCTATTTCTTCCCTTAATTCCAATTTGGTTTATGGTATATAATACTGCCCACTCACCACCTCCATTTGGATGTCTATTAGGCATTTCAAATTTATTTTTGCTTTCAATTGTTTGTGTCACAATAAACAATCAAACAGAAAGCCACTTCCTGCAGAATTCCGTATCTACTGTGATGCCATTCATTGAATTGCTCGAGCCCAAAGCCTAGAATATCATCCTGAACTCTTCTGTGTGTACTTTCAGCGCATTTCATGAAAATAATCATTTCTCACCTCTACTCCACCATCCTAATCCAAGCTACTATCATATACACTGAGTGGCCAGGTTATTATGATCTCTGAACGCATAATAATCTGGCCACTCAGTGTATATCTATTATATATAATAAAAGGCTAATATGCAAATTGTCCCCTCAACCTGGAGTTCGACCAGCAGGCAGGCCGGCCAACTGTCCATGCCCCTTCCCCCTGCACCAGGCCTCTAATATATATATATTGAGTGGCCAGATTATTATGCGTTCAGAGATCATAATAATATAACCACTCAGTGTAGATGGCCATGTCCTAATCTCAGGAGCCTATGAGTAGGTTACTTCACATGGTAAAGGGGATTTGCTTGTGAAATTAAGTTAAGGATCTTGAGGTGTGGAGATTCCTGGATTTTTTTTTTTCAGGTGGGGCCAGTATAATCGCAGGGGCTCTTATAAGTGAAAGAGGAACCTAGGAGAGGAGAATCAGATGAGATATGATCATGAAAGCAGGGGTGAGGCTAAGATTGAAGGTGCTATCCTATAGGCTTTGAAAATGGAAAAAGCCACAAGCAGATGGCTTCTTGGAAGTCAGAAACCCAAATTGGGTTTCACTGAGCTAAAATTATGGTGTCAACAGGCATGAACTCCAGAGGATCTAGGGGAGGATAGTTTCCTTCTCTTGTCCAGCTTCTAGAGGCCACATGCATTCCTTGGTTTGGGGCCCCTTCCTCTATCTTCAAAGCCAGAAGCAGAGCATTTTCGTCTTTCAAACCTCTCCCTAACTCTGCTTCCTTCTTCCACTTATATGGATTCTTGTGATTGATTACCTTGGGCCCACCTGACAATCCAGGATAATCATCCCATCTCAAAATCTTTAATTTCATCACTCCTGCAAAGTCCCTTTTGTCATGTAAGGAACATTTTTAGAAGTTCCTAGAATTATGTAAGCCATTTTTCTGCCTACCACATAGCTTTAAGAACTTACATGAATGATGAGTATGTTGGAATTTCCTGTTCAGTTCTGGGTCCCACACCAATCAAGACATATTCCCAGAACAACCAGAACAGTCACCCCATTTATAAAAAAAAAAAAAAAAATTGAAGGAATCATAAAGGTTTATCTAAGAAAAAAGAGGCTTCAGTACTGAACCGATTTGGGTACTATGGAAACAATGTATTTTCCAACATTAACTGAATACAGAACCCCAGTTAGCCAGACATTATAACAATAAATTATATAAACTTTCAGGAAATTGAGCTATGATCTTAATCTGCAAATGAAAATAAGCAATTTTTAATCATTCATTAGCAATCAGAAGACTCTAATGCAATGTCATAAGATCATCTTATTGTTTCTTGGATAAAAGAAAGTACCCATTATATTTGGTTTAATTGCTTGATTACATTAAACACTTCTGCAAACCTAATGCATTCTAATAGAAAAGTAAAGTCAACTCAAAAATATGGAGATGTAAAGTACAACATAGGGAATATAATCAACAATATTGTATAAACTATGTATGATGCCATCTGGGTACTAGGGAGATCACTTGGTAAATGATGTTAAGTGTCTAACCACTATGAAATTATGTTAAGTGTCTAACCACACCTGAAACTAATACAAAATAATATTGAATGTCAACTTTTTAATTCTAAAAAAAAGCAAAGTGGATAATTACCTTGTTATTTTCATGACGAATTTCCAATTATGTAAATTAGAGAAGGAAAAGGAAGGGTGTTGGAGACCCGTTGCTCACAACCGTTTCATTTTTAATAAAGTCAGTTTTACCTAGAAGTTAACCTAACCTGAAAGGCTGTAGGGGTACAAAAGGCAAACAATGATTATGCAATGGGAACAAAGTTAAGATTTTTCCTGATGCTTGCAAGATCATAAGTTAAAACGTATTTAAATAAATGCTTTATGATTGTTTATGATCGTGATGCTGTAATAAACTATTTCTGACCTCTTGACTAGCAAAAAAAGGAGTAAGGCAAGTTGAGCAGGCTGGATGTGTAGAGGGTAAAACTAAGCTTTCAGGTTAGGCATAGAGATTTGTATTCCCGAACTCCATCTACTAGTCCTGAGGTCTTAAGCAAGTAACAGCGGAACCTTCTGGGGAAATTAAATTAGAAAATGCAGGCATAGCACTTTTGGGAGTCAGTGTTCCAATCAATGTCTGTTCGCTACAGTTGTTATGACTGGGCTCTTATTTACGCACTTTTGCAAGAACAGACGCAATGTAAAAAAAAGAGAGAGTTCTTTAATAAATGAACTCGGTCCCGAAACCGGAGGTAGCGAACCGTATGGTATGTTGGTACCGAAGCCATCTATTAAATGTCAACCCACTCTCCGCCACCAGAGGGTTGCAGCAGAAGTAACGGGAAGTGACTCTGCCCCTAACTAACATGGCGTCCAGGTGATTTCCGTTCTCCTCTCTACGGTTACAGTCATTGGCCACGGCAGCGTCTCGCGGTTTTACCAGACGTCACTGGTTCAGCAAACTACTCTCTCCCGGTTCTCCCTGGGAGGCGGGGCTACGGAGAGATGCTGCATGGTGATTGGTTGCAGCGCTTTAGGAAGTTGTCCTGCGCACGCCCCGGCCGCGATTGATTGCCGAGAGGCGGGGCGACTCGACTGCTGAAGAGGTAGCTGCCGCTGTGGGAGAAACATGGGTCAGGCGGCCAAGGTGACAGGGCCTGGGGAGGTGTTGGGTGCGATGCCGACCGGGGAGAGCGGGGGCTGGCGGGGGGGCGGGGGGGGAGGTTAAGAGCGCAGCCTGACGAAAGTTATACGGGTTCAGGCCTTCCTCGGAGGATGGGGCTTCGCCCCTGAGGAGTCGGTGACCAGTCCAAAGGCTGGTTTCGGGTTGTGCAGGTGTGGAAGAGGGGTGGGGGGCACCCATGGTTCCTATTCCTTACTCTGCTTGGGTGCCGAGTGTGTTCAGTAATGCCAGAGTTGAGCTCCGCCCGCGTTTCATCTCCCCGCCGGGTATCTGTCTGAGGGACCCGTTTCCCCTCCTGGGAAAGGGGCCGGGGACGCTGACGGCATCCCTGCGCCCCAAGCACCCGATGAGGTGAAAGGTGTGGTCTAGTCATGTCATTGGAAGGCACACAGAGGCCTGGGGACCAAGGAAGTCAGCGCAGTCACTTACCAGAGGTAACACTCCGCGACACAGAGCAGAGGCCCAAGTTCCCAGCATGAGCTTGGGAAGCGGTGGTCCTGCCGGGGCCACACGGTCTCAGGTTCATTTCTCGCCATCGTTACATGTTCCTGGCGTTCCTGGCCGGTGCCCAATTTCATGGGCTAGCCATCCCTAACCTTCATCAGCATGGCAGGTTGAGAACTGTCCCTGTCACTGGCTGAAACACAGGCATTAGAGGGGGGAAATGGCCTGCTACCATATAGTGAGAAAGAACGATGCTATGGTCAATAATAAGTAGCCAGCCTCCAAGCAATGCCTCATCTTCTACTGAACTTGGCGTTCTCGGTATGTTTTAAGGTACATGCCAGCGCCAGTAGAAACAATTGTAAAGGGTTATTCATTTTAAACTTGTATTGAGTTTACATGATAGTTATTAGTAATACCTAAGACCCAACATTTAGCCTATACTATTAAGGCATAGTGGGTGCAACAATAAACAGACCACCTTTGCCTTCATACGGAAGTCTAGCAGGTCCGAAACCTTTAACAATTACTTAATTAGAATTGTATTAAGTGCGTTGAGCTACAATAGTGTATTCTGTGTGCATATAATTGGGATTTAACTTAATCTGGAGGGATGCAAAACAATATGTCATAGAAGTTTAAGTTAGGTTGAGATGTGAAGTTTAATTAGAAAAAGGCCATTCCAGAAAGAGGAAGTAGCATATAGAAAGTTCTTGAAATGGAAAATTGTTGGAAAACTTGAATACAAATGAAAGGATTCATTCCAAAAACACTTTAGCCCAGGCCTGTAATGTGTAGAAGACACCATGCCAAGTGTGGAGGACATAAAGGTAACCAAGAAGCCTCTGAAGAAGTATGGTACAGCAAGTGAGCCATTACATTAACACACAGTGTAGCAAGTGCCCAATGCTGGGATGTACTCAGGAGGGCATATAACCCAGGCTTAAAAGGCATCTATATCTATAAAAGCCTAAGCGACCATTGCAACTGAACAGATGACCAAACAGGCTGCATGGGGCGACCAGGCCAGCAGGAGGATTACTGAGGGGTAACCAAATGACTGAGCAGCAGCTGAGTGAGGTGACCAGGCCGGCAGGGAGATTAGTGAGAAGCAACCAAGCCAGTAGAGGGGCAGTGAGGGGCAAGCGGCAACCAGGCTGGTGGGGGCAGAGGGTGCAATTGGTGATGACCAGGTCGCCAGGGGGGTGCAATATGGGTCGGGGGGGGCAGTTAGGGGCAACCAGGTGGGGAGGCAAGTTGGGTAAGACTAGGCCTGTGGTGGGGGGAGGAAGCATGGGAAGTTGGGGGTGACAAGACCAGCAAGGGCGGCAGTTAGGAGCAATCAGGCAGGCAGGCAGGCAGGTGAGCAGTTAGAAGGATTGTGAGAGGGATGATCACCAGGATTGGACCTAAACTGGCAGGTGGACATCACCCAAGGGGACCCGGATTGGAGAGGGTGCAGACTGGGCTGAGGCCCCCCTGTCCCCTCCCCCCCCCTTCGCCAATGCACAAATTTCATGCACTGGGCCTCTAATAGATAAATAATTACTACAGTGAAACCTAGTATAGAAATTATACCATACACCCTTAAAATTACTTCATTATTAAACAAAAAACAAACAAACAAAAAAAAAAACGAGACAAAAAGTAAGTAATTTGTCCAAGCTTATAATAAATGGCAATGTCAGATTCAAACTAATCTGTGACTGCCTAAATTTGACAAGTCAGAATAAGTAAATGGGAAAGAGAAGACAATATGTGACTTAGCTTTCTGCTTTTTAGAAGTCCAATGCACTATCCATTATGCGACGAACCAAGCAGCTTTCTACTTTTTAATAAAAGTTAATAACTCCAACATGATAGTAGCTTTGATAGCCCCAAGGCAAGGATGACCTCAACTTAGTTATATCTACAAAGACCCCATCCTATAAAATAAAGGCTAATATACAAATCAACCGAACAGTAGAATGCCCAGTCACTATGACATGCATTGACCACCAGGGGGTAGACACTCAGTGCAATTCCTGTCCCTGTCACCGGAAGTTGGGAGCACCGCTCAGCCAGAAGCCAGGCTCATGGCTGGTGAGCGCAGCTGCAATGGCAGGAGCTTCTGCTCTGCAGCAGTCAGACATCCTCTGAGGGCTCCCATACTGCGAGAGGGCGCAGGCCGGGCTGAGGGATGCCGCCACCACCCCTGGGTGCACAAATTTCGTGCACCGAGCCTCTAGTTTCCAAATAAGGTCACATTTGTAGGTGCTAGGGATTAGGACTTCAATATGTCTTGGGGATAGAACACATTTTATTTGTCCATTTATGAATTGATGAACATTTGGGTGGTTACTTTTTGTCACTATTATAAATAGATACTGTGGACATTCATATATAAGTTTTGTGTGAATACACGTTTTATTTTTCTTTGGTGTATACCCAGGCAGGTCATATTATAACTCTGTTTAATTTTTAAGCAACTGCCAAGCATTTCCAAAGTGGCTGCACCATTTTACATTCCCACCAACAATGTATACATCCCAATATTTCCACATTCTTGTCAACATTTGTTTTTTACTATCTTTTTTACTGTATCCCTTCTACTGGAGTGAAGTAGTATCACTGAGATTTAAATTTGTATTTCCCTAATGGCAAACGTTGAACATCTTTCTTTGGCCTTAATAGCCATTTGTTTGTCTTCTTTGCAGAAATGTCTATTCAAATCCTTTGCCTATTTAAAAAAAATGTTTTATTATTGAGTTGTTCTTTATATGTTTTAGATAATTGCCCCTTTATCAGATATAAGGTTTGCAAATATTTTCTCCCATTCTGTGGGATGTCTTTTCTCTTTTTTGATCATATCCTTTCCCTTTCTCACTTAAAATTTTTAGTTTTTATAAAAGTGATAAAAGTGTAGTAAAGATTAAGAAATAGTTGGCTAGTTGGTTCTGTATCCTGGTGCTGCATTATTTTGGAGCCCAAGTGGTCCCTTAGCTGAGATGCCTGAGGAAACCCAGACTCACAACCAATCGATGGAGAAGAGGTTGAGACGTTTACCTTTCAGGTAGAAGTTGCCCAATTGATGTCACTGATCATTACTATTTTCTACTTGAATAAAGAGATATTTTTTAAAATATTATTTTTATTGATTTTTTTACAGAGAGGAAGGGAAAGAGAGAGCCAGAAACGTCGATGAGAGAGAAACACCGACCAGCTGCCTCTTGCATACCCCCCACTGGGGATGTTCCTGCAACCAACTTACATGCCCCTGACCGGAATCGAACCTGGGACCTTTCAGTCCGCAGACCGAAGCTCTACCACTGAGCCAAACCGCTTTCGGCAAAGAGATATTTCTGAGGGAATTTATTTTATATTCATCAGATCCACTGGACAATAGCAGCTGTGAAAGCTTGTCAGATCCCAGTAAACTGGACTCTGGGAAAGAATTGCACATCAACCTCATTCCAAACAAATATGACCAAACTCTCACTATCATGGATACTGGAATTGAATGGCCAAGGCTGATTTGATCAATAATCTTGGTACCATTGCCAAGTCTGAGACCAAAGCATTCATGGAAGCTTTGCATGATGGTGCAGATATCTCTATGATTGGCCATTATGGTGTCAGGTTGTAATTAGCCTATTTGGTTGCTGAAACGGTGCCCATAATCACCAAATCTAACAATGATGAGCAGTATGCCTGGGAGTCGTCCCAATAAGATTGTTCACAGTTAGGACTGACACAGTAAACAGTGGTCATCCTGAATCTGAAAGAAGACCAGACCAAGTATTTGGAGGAGAGAAAGATAAAGGAGATTGTGAAAAAAAAAAACTCAATTTATTGGCTACTCCCTTACTTTTTTGGGGAGAAGAACATGGTAAAGAAGTCAGTAATAATGAGGTTGAAGAAAAGGAAGAGAAAGAGGAAGATTAAAAAAAAAAAAAAAAAAAAAGCCCAGCCGGTGTTGCTCAGTGGTTGAACCTCGACCTATGGACTAGGAAGTCCTAGTTCGATTCCCAGGGCACAGACCCCCGGTTGAGGTTATGGGCTTGAAACCCACAGAGGGGCGTGCAGGAGGTGGACAATAGGTAGTTCTGTCTCATTGTTGATGTTTCTCTCCTCTTCCTTCCTCTCTAAAATAAATAAAAATTATTTTAAAAAAGAAGAAAAGGAGTCCAGTGACAAACCTGAAATCAGAGATATTGGTTCTAAGCAGAACTAGTTTTTCTCTTCTAGTTTCATGTTGGCTTATTTTAACAGAATGAGGTTATGCTTGTCGTGAGATGTGTGTAATCTAATGTTCCTTAACATTGTGGCCTAACTCTAAAGTGTTTAGCTTTCAAGTGGGTTCCTTAGTAGACCAAATCTTTTGTCACTGAAATGTTTTGAGATAAACATGGTTAAAACAACTTTCATCCCCTAGGGTCTGCTTCTTAAACCTTCTATCCTTTGTATTTATCAACTGCATGTATGGCCTCTAGAAATTAGTATACTAAGCTGAACCAATCTGATGGGAGTAATTATCCATAGGTTTGTTTTCTAAAGAAAAGTATTACTTAGAGAAGCAAAATTATAAGCTCACCTAGGCATATTGTAAAGCCATTTGAAAGTAACTTAGAGCAAGTTTTGTGAATGGAAATGTAGTGTCAAGTCACATTCTGCTTTAAAAAGGTTGTGACAAATGCAGATGAATTAAAAAGAAAGAATGTTACACAAATGCTAGTAGGTATCTATTTCCATCCACATGCTCCTAATTCCTGCTCTCCTGAGATAAGAGCTTTTAATCATTTTAGCTATTCCTTCTGATATTTACCTCCATGTCTCTAAACATGCTTAAACTACTATTTATTTTCTCTTTGGAGATATTGTTGACTTTTTACATTGGAGGTTGAGGACTAAGCTTTCCCTTACAACCCATTCTTCACAATGTACTCATTTTGGTGAATCAGTTTTTGTCTCTGATATTATTTGACTGTAAAATTTATCCACAGCTGAGATCTCTATTATAACTATACTAGTAGCCCTGTACACAAATCCATGCACCAGTAACTCTGCAGGGCCTGGCCACTCCACACCCACTGCCCAGAGGTTCTCTACGGCCTAGAGGCCCATCTGCAGCCAGGCGTGGAACACTTGTCTCATCGCTGGGGCGACGACGCAAGCATTCCCCCCTTCTAACCTCCCCCAGCCACTCCATGCCCACTGCCCAGAGGCTCTCAAAGGCCAGGGTGGAATGCTTGCCTGTCACTGCAGTGCTGAAGCAAGCATTCTACCAGCTCACTCACGCTGCCTGCTCTCAGCAGCCACCACCCATCCACCCCCCCACCCTCCTGACTGGGAGACTGGCGTGGTTGAGAGGACTGGGCAGCACCATCTTGTGGCTATGGGCGTCATCATCTTTGTGACAGAATGATGGTTAATTTGCATATTACCCTTTTATTAAATAGGATGATTACATTGTCTTTAATTTATAATTCTTATATTTTCTTAAAATTAATTAACTGCCTTGTATTTATCATTGATTAGATTCCTGCATATCTGTTCCCAAACTCTTAAGCCAAACTGACGTCTACCAGTTTTATTTTTTCTCTAGTAATCTTTTCTGGATCAGTTCAGACTTTTCTGTAGTCCAGACTAGTTGCTTTCTCAACTGGTTGCACAAATGCTATATTTGTCCTTTACCATTATCTCTGTCGCTCCTTTGCTGTTTTCTTAGTGGTTCATCCATTGTTTTGTGGAACACATGCATTGTTCCAAGAAAAGGTGTATGACATATGAGACTTTGCATTTCTAAAAAATGTGTCTGCTCTTGTTTTAAGTAATAATTTGGCTGTGTCTGATGTTCTAAGCTGGATTTTTTTTTCCCAAAACTTGAATATAATATACTATTGTCTTCTCACAGTGATATGAGAAGTCAGGTACCATTCTGATCACATACCCAGTGTATGTGAACTGTTTTTCTCTCTCACATTTTTCTTTTTATTAGCATTTATTAGCTGAACTTACATCATGAGCTATTGTGTAGGTTTTATGTTGGGCACTTGGTGGAGCCCTTTCAATCTACTAACTCCAGCACCTTACTTGGTGAAATTTCCTTAATTATTCTCCCTTTTAATTTCTATTTTATCTGTTCTCTCTTGTTGGAGCCATCTAGATCACTCTTTTAATTTTCTTATCTTTTCTCTTCTAAATTTTTATTTGTTAACCTCTGCTCTTACTCATTTGATATCCATAAGCTTTTGGGAGTTTCTGAACATTCCTTTTTTTAAAAATCCTCATCTGAGGATATGTTTACTGATTTTTTAGAGAGCGGGGGAGAGAAAGAGAGAAACATCAATGTGAGAGATAGACATCAATTAGGCTGCCTCCTACACTCTCCCTGACCGGGGATCAAACCCAAAACCCAAGCATCTGCCCCAACTGGAAATGGAACCTGAGCTTTCTGGTGTGCAGGACAATGCTTCAACCAACTAAGCCACCGGCCAAGGCCTAAAGGCTCCTTTTAAATTCTTCCTTTTTGTTTTTGTTGCATGTTTGCAATAACTTGGGATTTAAGTGTAGTTGTCTGTCTTTATGTTTTCTGCACCTGGTTTCCTATTTCTGTTTTGGTGTATGCCTTTGAAATTCTAGGTTTTCTAAAATATTTAAAATAGTACCTTGTACACAGGATATACTCAGTAAATGTTAGATGTTATCTAATGAATGGACTGGAGAAAAGGAGGGAAGGGTGGCAGAGTGACAGATCTTTTTAAGTACTCTAAGAAACACATGGGGAGCATCCGAATTTAGTTTGGGGCTATGGTGGATATAAAAAAATTAGACATCCTAAAGTTTCCACATGAAGAGTAAGGTAGCTTTAGAGATGACTTTAAAATTTCTGGCTTGAGAAAGTCTGTGTCTTCCATCACTGAAATTGCGAAGACAGGAGAAAAAGCAGTGTTGGGAGAATAACATTGAGTATCCTTTTGGACTTGAGAAGTATGAGGCGGCTTTTGGCTAGGCTCCGCCCGTCAGTACTGACTGGCTATTTGTGACTGGTTGGGTCTTAGAGTCCAGGCTCGGCACTTCAGAACTGGTGTCAGCCCTTTGGAACTAGATTCGTCGCTTAGGCCTTGGCTGGGCAATTCCAGGGTAGGTCCATTAACATCGTATTGATCCGGGCCCTGGGGAAGCCCTGGTCTCCACAAGATTTCCTTATAGGAAAGGACCCTTAAGGGAGCATTCTGGCCTAGGAGCCAGAGGTTGAAAGGGCTGCTGACTCACAAGGAGAGGTGCCTGTGGAAATCCCTCTGACACACAGTCTGGGTTCCTTGGGCCTGCTGGAAAAATAGGTGTTGCTTAGGGGCTGGGCTCTTTGGAGTGAGGTTCTGCCCTCCAGACAGGTTGGCTGTTTGGGACTGGGTTCTTTATTGTTGTTGCTTATTGTTGCCTTTGTTGTTGTTTTTTAAAGAAGTGTGAGGTGGCCTCAGTCAATCCTAAATCCTCCTCACAATCTGATTCTTTTCTCTCCATTTTTTAACATACTCTTGTAATAATAAAAAATGTCAGCATTCTACTTGTTTTTTGAGAAATCACAATTGAGTTTCCCTGAAACATCTTCCTTATGAGCTCTCTTAAGATTTAATAAATTCGGAAAAGCAGCCAAATGTGTTGCTCCATTAAAAAAAAAGATTTAATAAATTCATGAGTTTGTCTATACTAGTATGTGCCTCCCTTTATGAACAAAAGAAAGCCCTAATTGATTTGACTCAGTGGATAGAGCGTCGGCCTGTGGACTGAAAGGCCCCAGGTTTGATTCTGGTTAAGGGCATGTACCTTGGTTGCAGGCACATCCCCAATAGGGCATGTGCAGGAAGGCAGTTGATGAATGTTTCTCTCATCGATGTTTCTAACACACTCTCCCTCTCCCTTCCTCTCTGTAAAAAATCAATAAAATATATATTTTTTTAAAAACAAAAGAAGGGCTCCATATCTTAAGAGAAACGATAATACATACCAGACTGGAAAAGTTGTTTACCTTGGCTGATTTTGCAGGGGAATTACTAACTTTTAACTATCTTTATACTATTTTGTTTCAAATAACTTTGTATTATTTTTGTAAATAAAGTTTTTTTTTTTAATTTAAAGATAAATAATCAATGTAAAGGTATTTCCACAAACCCTGGTTTTCATCAGCTACTTAATTATGTAAAATGTGATTTTTTTTCTTTGCGGTCTAAGTTCTGATTTTCTTGATAGGTTTTACAGCTCTTTAAAACATTGCACAGGACCAGACAACAAGTTTTTAAAAATGATACCAAAGCATTAGAAGGTAAGTTTATTAATTTTCCGTTGAAACAAGTCCATTCTTCAGATGCTGCTCATATGTCCAAGAGACCCAACATAGGCAAGCCTCATCTTAGGGAATGACCTTCACTACCTCTTCCCTAATGTTATGTGTTATAAAGATTAGTTTACATTACACTTTTTGAGGACTATATACTTCAATTTTCTTTAAGTTCTCTATTTTATAATCACAATTTCTCTATTTTATAATCACAATTTCACACATCTAGGACTAGATACTACCGTATTGTTAATGCCTTGTGTCATTCTAGAAGTGACAGCAGCTAAGAGAATCTATTCCAAGCAATTACTCATTTAGTATTTCACAGTTTTAAGTGATTTCTGTCTTACTTGGTTCTTTGTTGGTCATGTTTACTTCCAATCCTCATACATTTCAAAACCTCTTTAACCTAGGTAAAGTGTCTCCACTGTCCCATGATATTCTAGTTTTCATAATTCACCCAAAATAATTTCTTGAATATTAAAATATATGCCTTATATTGTACTTTACACAAATTCCTCATTTAATTATTATAACAACACTGTGATGTAGTTGCTATTACAGTAAACCCTCAATTTTGCAGAGATTGATTTAACAGAATTAGGATTTAATGGAAAAATTTCTAGCCTGTATGTCATATGTGAATTTAATTTAACACCCTATTAATTTTAAAATGCTTTAAACCAAGATTTGCTTATAATTAAATCTATAAATTTGCTATTTGTTATTAAGAAATTTATTATTTTTTAACAAATTTTAGTGAATAAGCCATATGTTTGAAAAATACTAGTAATTCCACCAACATAAATAAATGTTACATATATACAACCAGAGTCTGCATATTTAAATCCAGAGTCACCTCTCATAAACAATGTTCAGCAAATGATTAGCATTTGAACACAGATACCAGAGCATTAGAAGGTAAGTTTTTATTGTTTTTCCTTTGGAACATCCCACAGGGTAATTGGTTCTATTGTTGCATGCGTGACTTTCTGCAGCAGTTTTAACACGTGCCACCCATCTTCCAGCTAAGCCAAGCCCAGACTTGTGCATTTGTTTATTCACAGTGACTGGTGAATGCACACATTTATTAGACCTATTTAGTATAAATTTAAAATTACAGTCATACATATAGAAAAGTTTTCTGTGAAATTAAACTTTCATAAATACTTAATTTTAATTACAAAAATGTATCTATATTTGTCAATTTTTTAACATACACATTTGAAAAACCTGTCTATTATATATATATATAACTAATATGCAAAGTGTCCCTTTGGGAGCTCAACCAGGAGAGACCAGGAGTTCGATCGCTCGCTATGTCGTGCACTGACCACCAAGGGGTGCTGCAGAACAAAGGAAGTCCCCAGCCAGCAGCTGGAAGTCCAGATGGTCTCTGATCACGGTTCAGGCCTAGGGACCCTACCTGTGCACGGATTTCGTGCACCAGGCCTCTAATTTTATTATAAAATGGACTGTCAGCTTTAACAGACACCCTGCCTCGCCCGAATTAGTCCATTATATCGAGATTTCACTGTATGATTTCTGTTCAGATAAGAAACTAAAAAATGTGAAAGAATTTGCCCCACATTATACTTAGAAAGAAGTAGAGCTAGGATTCAGCTTAAGCAGTCTGGCTCCAAAGCCTAAACTCTAACCACCTTGCATATTGAAATTCTGAAGTATAGAAGGAAGATTTTATGACTATTCTCACATTAAAATAGCATAGTTTTGTTGCTTTAAATGTTTTTAAGTGAAATAATTATAAGAACAGGTAACATTGCATGTTTACTAAGCACTTTATATGGATCATTCCATTAAATGCTTACAGCAATACAATAAGCTAGTTTGTCAGATTAAACTGAATTATGCTACTGTAATGATGGTGATGTCCCAGTGGTGTACATGAACAAAAGTTTTATCATTTACTTTACATGTCAGCTAAAGTGCTCAGAGCTGCTATATCTTTATTTTAATGTGTATAAGTGTGCTTAAAGTATTGAGTTTTGCCATCTTAAAAACATTTCATTTAAATTCTTAGATTTATAGAAACAAAGAATTACATTGATTTATTGAATCTAATAAATACACAAATGAAATTGAAAGTGAAAAGCAGAAAACAAAAGTATTAGAGTGCTGAAGGTTTATATTAGGTTTAATTACAAACTTGCCAGCCTGTCATAAGCTCTCCAAAAGACTTCTTTAATAAATTTATGATTTTTATACTTTGTTTTACATGGGGCAAAACTATTTCCTTTACTAGAGAAGTAGTGATTCATAATGAATAACATGTAAATTATTGTGGCAGAAATAATAAATTAGACAAGCAAGTAACTATATGTATTTTTCTTTCTGTAGCAGCCAGAATAAAAATAAATGAAGAATTCAAAAGTAATAAAAATGAAACTTCTTCTAAGAAAATAGAAGAGGTACGGTAATTGAATTTTTCAATTTTACAATAAAACACTTGAAAATTGTATTAGCAACTAGAGGAAGTGATGGAAATAGAGGGGTTACGTGAAATAAAAACCCAATAGTTAAAAATAAGCTTCACTTGTTTGGTATGGCTCACTTCCTCTGGGTCATCTGCCTACAACCATAACAAAAGAAGTTGCCTGGTAAAAAGAATAAGGATGGTAACCCTAGTTAAAACAAGAGCAGCTGCCGAAGCCAGTTTGGCTCAATGGATAGAGCGTCATCCTGCGGACTGACGGGTCCCAGGTTCGATTCCAGTCAAGGGCATGTGCTTTGGTTGTGGGCACATCCCAGGTGGGGTGTGTAGAAGGCAACTGGTCGATGTCTCTCTTTCATTGATGTTTCTAACTCTCTATCTCTCTCCCTCTCTGTAAAAAATCAATAAAATATATATTAAAAAAAAAAAACAAAAACAAGAGCAGCTGAATCAACCCAGTCACCCACAGAAGTGCTATCTACTCACTGAAACTGAAAAGAATGAGTGCTTTGGTAACTCAGAACTATAGAGGAAACACCTACTCATTTAGCTCAACTAGACAGATTTTTTTTTTTTTTAATTCCTGTCTTGGCAGTGGAAGTGAACCAGCCACAGTTCATGATGACTCTTGGTTTGCCTTTAATATTTGCCTTTTAATCACTTATTTTAGTTTAAGACAGTCTACTGAAACCAGTCCGTGAGCTCCCTAGTACTCCCAATGCATATTCACAGTGTTTTGAAAAAATTCACAGTGTTTTGTTTCCTGTATAAAATCATGCTGCATATATACACTATCTCAGTTTTGACCTTCATAAGTATTCGTTTCTAACCTTGGATAAATTTAGGGAAAGGACCCATAGGAAGTAAAAAATGGAAAACTATTTGCAAGGGTAGTTATGATTCCAAGAATTGATTTGATTAAAAAGAAAATATAAATTAGAGAAATACTTCTGTGTTTAACAGAATTTCTGAATGTTAAAATTTTATGAAAATCATTTATATTTTTGAAATAGTAAATATTTATAATAAGCCAGTGAGACAATGAAATAGCTTAAGAATTTTTTTTAAAATATATTTTATTGATATTTCACGGAGAGGAGAAAGGGAGAGAGATAGAGAGCTAGAAACGTCGATGAGAGAGAAACATCGACCAGCTGCCTCCTGCACATCCCCTACCTGGGGATGTGCCTGCAACCAATGTACATGCCCCTGACTGGAATCAAACCTGGGACCTTTCAGTCCGCAGACCGACGCTCTACCACTGAGCCAAACCAGCTTCAGCAAGAATTTCTATCCCTGTAATAAAAAAGGGAAAGATTTCCCTTAAGCATATGATAGAGCAAACAGGGACATCTTATTCATGTAGAAGTAAGATGAAATTAGACTCAAGTCATGAATTGAAGTTAAAAGGTACATATGGAGGTTTGTCCTATTTGCTATTCAGTAGACTGATAACAATTTGGCAATTTCTAAATTTTTAAATCATGATTTAAACTTTTAAGATTTTTTACATTTTTAATTGTTTATATCAACTAAACTGAGAAAATGAACTACAGGGAGAAACCAAGATGGCAGCATAAATACCTAAACTGCTGCCTTGCACAACAATTTCAAAACTACAACTAAGAGACAAAACAGACATCATCCAGAACTACAGGAAGGCTGACTGAGTGGAAATTCTACAACTATAAGGAAAGAGACTCAGAGACTCAGAGGTGCTGCAAAAGGCAGAGGTATGGAGACGTGTGCATGGAGAGGACTGGCAACTGAGTATGCGGCTGACTTTCTCAACTGGGAGGGAGACAAAAGCTCCTGATTGCTCTGAACTCCAGTGCCGGGCAAGACTCTGGGGACCAAGACTCATACTGTCTCCTTCACCCTGAGACTCTCCTTCATCCAAGCTAAGCACAGAGGTTTTTTGCAAGTATTGTCTCATAAGGGTGTCTCCAGCACAGAAATTCTCCCAATATAGACACAGCTGATTGTCACAGCCAATTGGCCTGGAGGTCAGTTCCTCTCAGTGATACCAACAATAATCAAGGCTTAGCTACAACAAGACTATGCACACAGTCCACAAAGGGGTGCACCAAGAGTGTCCGCCTCAGGTGACTAGGGAGGCTGAACCACTGGGCCCTATATGACACCTAGCACACAAAGCCACTCTATCAACTCAGGGAAGCAGCCAAAATGTGGAGAAAAGGAAACAGGTCATAAATGAAAAAAAATGGAGGAAAGCAAATGACTGGATATAGAGTTCAAAATCACAGTTACAAGGTTTTTCAAGAATTTTGTAGAAAAGGCCAATAAATTTAGGGATATCCTCAAGGATATGAAAAGGACCAACTAGAAATTAAACATACACTGACTGAAATAAAAAATAATATACAGAGATCAAACAGCAGACTAGAGTATCGCAAGAATCCAATCAAAGATTTTAAGTACAAAGAAGCAAAAAACACCCAACCAGAAAAGAAAAAAGAATCCAAAAATTTGAAGATAGTGTAAGGAGCCTCTGAGACGACTTCAAGCATACTAACATCCAAATTATGTGAGTGCCAGAAGAAGAGAGAGAGCAAGATACTGAAAACCTATTTGAAGAAATAATGAGAGAAAACTCCCCCCACCTGGTGAAAGAAATAGACTTACAAGTCCAGGAAGCACAGAGATCCTCAAACAAAACTAATTTAATGAGGACCATACCAAGACATATCATAATTAAAATGCCAAGAGCAAAAGACAGAGTATATTAAAAGCAGCAAGAGATCATCCCATGATCTATAAGACTATATCATCTGACCTCGGTTAACTTCCCTTCTCACTTCATTCATTTTCAAGAAAAAAAATCTAGCAAATACCCAAGTCTAAATAATCAGTTTGTCTGCCTATCAATGGTTCATTCAAGTACAAATGGTATTTTATAGAGAAAACTCTACTTCTCACAACTCAGTGTAGAAGGGTCTAGGGTCTGTATTATGAAAATAAATTTGACATCGGGGTTGCCTGAAAGGGTCCTAAGGTGGCTCAAGGGGTCCACAGCTTTGAGAATTGCTATTCTAATCCATTTCTTCATTTTGCAAATAATGAGGTCTGAAACTCAGTAGGTTACTAAACCAAGGCCATACACTTAATGACAACCAGAGTTGGAATTCAAGTATTCTGACCCCTAATTCAACATTCTAGTGTTCAGAACATCCAATTCTATAAAAGAAAGATTCACCACCACCACCCTAAAAAAACTGTGTTTTAAACACATTGTAAAATATATATGTACAACAACAAAAGAATACTCTAAAACTGTTTTGGATCAAAATATGAACAGGTGGATAAAAGTTAAAAGTATATGCCTGTCTGAGCTTTTTGCGCACTTGGAATGGTTATAAAAAGTTAAAGGCAGATTATTACATAAAAATTTGTAGTAAACCTATACTTTTCAAAAACAGTACATTTGTATGAACCGCTGAAAAACAACTAAAGGATTTATTCTGTGTTTGGTTTTCTTAACAGCTAATAAAAATAGGTTCCGATGTGGAATTGTTGCTCAGAACATCTGTTATACAAGGTATTCACACAGACAACAATACACTGAGTAAGTAAAATGAAAGAAAAATGTTTTCTGATTGTAGTGTGTTTTAAAATATTAAGCAATTAGTGCTTTTAATGCTATTGCTAAAAGAGTTTGATTTTGCCAGACAATGTAGTATATATTTCACATATTTATAAGGCTACCATTTAAAAATACTGAAGTATGAAACTTTGTTTTATCAGATTTTTTATTCTTAAAATTCTTTAAAAACCTTAACTACTGATTATATTACAAAACTACAGTTACAAAGACAGTATGACTTTTTATCATTTACTTGGGGTTCTTAAATTTCTAGTACCATTTAACATGTACCTAGACTAATCTGTTTCTCTATCCTTTATTCTATGATTAGAGTTATTTTAATTCAAAACAATTGGGTTATAAAAATAAAAATAGAGTAGAGGATTCTTCATTAAACCTTAAAACTCCTAGTGGGGCTTCGGCAGAATCTTATTTTATATTATACTAGAGGCCTGTGCATGAAAACTCATGCTCTCAGAGAGGTCCCTTAGCCCGGCCTGCGCCCTCTCACAGTCTAGGAGCCCTCAGTGGGTGTCCAACATGCAGGGAGCAGGCTTAAGCCACAGCCTGGCTTCCCTCTGCAGGAGGTGACCAGTGGGCCGATCTGGAATAGCGAGCAGCTGGCCCCGCCCTGAGTCACCCCACTGTGGTCACTGGTGGCCTCCCTCTGTGGGAGGCAAACCTGGCAGACAATCTGGGGATGGCGAGTGGCCAGCCCCTCCCCAAATCACCCTGCCACTGCTGACACCTGTGCCCTCCCTCTGTGCAAGGCAACCAGACGAGCAATCGGGGTGGGATTTGTTTTTTATTCCCTGAAGTTACTTTGGGGACAACAATAATACCAAAAAGATGACATTCCTTTAAAGTATAACATACAAACAGAAAAGTGCCCAATTTATAACTGTATAGCCCACTGAATTTTCACAAAGTAAAATATTCATGTAATCAACATCCATATCAAGCTATATAATACTACCTGTTCCTCAAAAGACCCCATATGATCTTATGTCTCTCCCCGTCATCCCCACCCCACAAGTATGACCACTGTCCTGACTTTCAACACTATCAATTTTAACATAATAAATATTTTTACTTTATATAAATTACATCATACAGCATTTGCTATTTTATCTGGCTTCTTTCAACATATTTGTGAGAATCATCTATATTATTGTGTATAGCAACATTTCTATAAATATTGTTTGAATATACTACACTTCATTCTACTATTGTTTGGGTTGTTTCTAATTTTGGACTGTAATAAATAATAATTCTATGAATATTCTATGTGTGCCTTGTGGTTTAAAAACATCAGAAAATATGTATGTACATTGATATGTACATACACAAATACAAATATAATGCATTTCTTGGAGATAAAAGTGAATTTTCCAGGTCAAAAGGATTATGCGTTTACTACAGGCCCAGTGCACGACATTCGTGCACTGTGGTTTCAGACCAGACTGTGGACCTGGGGTAGTGGGCCTAAGCCAGCAGGTGGACATCCTCCAAGGGGTCCTTAGCCCTGTGATGGAGGTGGGAGAGGCTACTGCCACGGCCGCTGCACTCACCAGCTGTAAGCCCGCCAGCCATAGCGAGTGCAGTGGTGGTAGCCTCGCCCACCTCCGAGGCAGTACTAAGGAGCTGCGAGCCCGACTTCTTGCTGAACAGTGATTTACCTGTGGGAGCGCACTGACTACTAGGTGGAATCTCCTGCATTGAGTGTCTGCCCCCTAGTGGTCAGTGCGTGTCATAGGGTTCGGTTGATTTGCATATTAGGGTTTTATTATATAGAATTTAGGTTTAATTAGATACATCTAACTAGTTTTCTAAGTAGTTAAACTAATTTACACTTCCAACAGCAGCATCTTAGAGCTCCAGTTGTTTTATATCCTCAACAATACTTGGTACTGTATAACTCTTTAATTTTAGTCTTTCTGGTAGTTGTGTAATGGTATTACATTGTGATTTTAATTTGCATTTCTCTGATAACTAATGAAGTATCAGCACTTTTACAGTTGTTTAATGGCCTGTTATTTTATGAAATGGCTGTTTAAGCCTCTTGCCCATTTTCTTGGCAATTATCTGCCTTTTTACTATTGATTTGAAAATATTATTTTTTTAAATATATTTTTATTTATTTCAGAGAGGAAGGGCGAGGGAGAGAGAGAGAAACTTCAATGATGACAGATAATCATTGATCGACTGCCTCCTACATGCCCAACACTGGGGGCTGAGCCTGAAACCCAGGCATATGCCCTGGCCGGGAATCAAATTGTGACTTCCTGGTTCTTAGGTCAATGCTCAACCACTGTGCCATACCAGCTGGGCTAAAAGAATTCTTTTTTTTTTTTTATAGACAAGGACCCAAAATTTCAGGTTGATTTACTTAATTAAATATAGTTATTGGCAACAGAGAGACTTAAAATACTCAAACCTCTTAACTATTATATTACCATGATGGCTTTACTTTTTTTTCATGTTTGTTTTTTATTTTTATTTTAAGGATAATGCTTTTAAATATAATAATGTTACATGCAATAAAAATTCATATCTCAAGAGAAACTATTTTAAAAATGATAATGTTACATGCAATAAACACCAATTATTTAAGAAAATGACCACATGCAGTAAACTTTAGGATTTCAAGAATAAGAGGATTTTAAGTATAATAATATTACCAAAGCTATACTAACATAGTATGATATCACAAAAGTTGTAGGAAATATTAAAAAATCTATAAATAACAGGATGACTTCTATTATATTTTAGTATATCCCCTTCTGGCTCTATTTTTGTTCATCATATTCCACAAATCAGTGAAATCATATGTTTATCTTTCTCCAACTTGCTTATTTTGCTTAGCATGATGCTTTTAAAGTCTATTCTTTTCCCCATCCCTTCACTTTCATGCTGTGTGTGTCTTTTTTTTTTTTTTTGAGGTGTGTCTTTTGTAGACATCATATAGTTGGGTCCATGTTTTTGTATCCATTTACTACCCTACATCTTTTGATTAGAGCACTTAATCCATTAACATTTAGGGTTATTATTGAGAGGTACTTATTTATAGATACTTTAATTTTGTATAGCTAGGTTTCTCTCTCTGTTTCTTCTTTTCAGCAATCCCTTATAGCAATTCCTTTAGCATTTCTTGTAATGCTAGCATGGTGGTGATAACTCCTTTATCCTTTTTTTTTTGTCTGGGAAGCTCTTTATTTGACCATCTATTTTGAATGATAGCCTTGCTGTATTTAGTAATCTTGGTCTCAGATCCTTGCTTTTCATTATCTTGAGTACTTCATGACATTCCCTTCTGGCCTATAGAGTTTCTGATGAGAAATTAGGTGTCAACCTTATGGGAACTCCTTTGTAGGTACCAGTTTTATTTTCTCTTACTGCCTTTAAGATTCTCTCTTTGTCTTAATTGTTGGGATTTTAATTATGATGTGTCTGGGTGTGGGTCTGGTTTGGGTTCTTCTTGTTTGGGTTCTCTGTGCCTCCTGGACTTATGAGAGTTTTTCCTTACCTGGTTAGGGAAGTTTTCTACCATTATGTATTCAAACACCTTCTCTATTCCTTTCTCTCTTTCTGCCTCTGCTGGCATGCCTACTATTCTAAATTTGTTATGTTTCACATTTTCCCACAGCTCCCTTAAGCTGTTCTCCTGATTTTTAATTGTTTTTTTTGTTTGGTTTTTTTTTTTTTTGGTTCTCTAATTGAGTGATGTTTTCAACTCTGTCTTCTAATTCACTAATTCGATCCTCAGCTTCCCCTAATCAACTGTGTATTCCTTCCAATGTGTTCTTTATTTGTGTTATCTCATTCTTTATCTCAGACTGTTCTTTTTCCATAGTTACTATATCTTTTTTTTCATACTGTTGAGCATTTTTAACATCAATACTCTGAACTCTGTTTCAGATAAATTTCTTATCTCTGCTTCATTTATCTCTTCCTCTGGAGAATTCACTAGTTCTTTCCTTTGTGGGTTGTTTCTTTGTTTCCTCATTTTGGTTGTCAGGTTTGTGACTATGTTTTAGGTAGATCCTCTATACCTCTCACTCTCTAGTGCAGGATAGGGTTAAGGCTATTTCTGACTAATTAAATCAGGCAAAGACTCAAAAGCCTCCAGAGACTGCCTCTGCCTACGGACTAATAGGATTCCAGTTGAATTGCCCCCAGGCAATTGTCCTTAGGTGTGATGAGAATTTTTTCAACAGGGTGAGACAGTTGCTCCTGCCTGGAGGCTCATTGTTATTTTTATTTTTTTTTATTTTTTTTTTTATTGATTATGGTATCACATACTTGTCCTCATCCCCCCAATCCCATCCCAAACCCCTCCCTACATATGCCCTCACCCCCCCCCCCCAACTCCCCCTGTTGTCCATGGGCACTGGCCGGGCCCATATGCATGCACACAAGTCCTTTGATTGGTCTTTTCCCCTTTACCCCCACCCTCCCCTACTTTCCCTCTGAGGTTTGAAAGTCTGTTCGCTGCTTCTCTTTCTCTGGGTCTGTTTTTGTTCATCAGTCTATGTTGTTCAACATTTCCTCTAGATGTGTGAGATCATGTGATCTAAGAAATACCCTTATAAGAACCTAAACTGAGACAAGCCATAATGGTTATGCTGTTTGTCCACCACTGTTTGTCCACCAACCAGATCTGAAATAGCATGGCTGGCATGTACACGTAAGGAACTATTTGACATTGAAATTGGGACTCAAAAGAACTGTTGGCCCAGAAAGGAACTCACTACAGACTGATTCATTTGCCTCTCAGCATAATCATTGTTACTTTTAATCTCTTAAGTGGCCGCAGGGCAAGGTGTTTTCCAATAGAGTATATTGACTGTCTTTCCCCCAGGCAAGGCAGATATCCATGTGGGAGAGATGTCCTCTGCTGTGTGAGGGAATGACTCAGCCCAGGAAACTTGGGGTGTCTGCCTTCTGCTCTCACAGCTCCAGTCCACTTCACTCTCCTTCTGCCAGAGCACAAGGTGGGTGGCTTCACGGGGAATTTTTGTGCATTGGCCCTATAAGAAGGTGCCCAAACTTTCAGCTGCCACTCCCTGGCAGACAGCACCCCACCGCTTTTCACATCTAGATGTTATGTGGGTCCCCTCTTCAGTTTGATGCTTCAGCTGAGGAGCCCAGCTTCAGGATTTGACTTCAGAATTCTCAGTGACACCTCTCCAGAACTGAGATATCTCTCTGGGACTTCAGTTGCTGTCTGTGGGTGCCCAGCCAGCTCTTTTGCGCCTCGGCTCCTCCTACCAGTCTCTATGCCATCTCCACCTTTGGTCCTTGGGTAACAGGGTTCTCTCCTGTGAGTTTTCCATTGATTTTTCAGGAAGCCTTTTCTTATTTTAGTTATAATTCCAGCTTGTTCCTAGGAGCATTTCCATGCAGCTTCTTCCTTCTCTGTTGCCATTTTTTTTTTTTTTTTAAGAACTCTTATATGAAAGCTTCAGAGCCTCAAATAAGGGCTTATGCCCCAATATCCCTACTCAGATAAGTATAATACCCAAGAGGATGAACAAGGAGCCTTGAAGGACAGTGGACAAGAGAGTGTCTCTGGGTCTTCCAGAAAACAGGATTAAGTACTGCCAGATGGGTTGACTAGAGAATTTATTCTTTGTCTAAAGCTAGTCCTTGCTCTTCCTGTCCACCAGGATTTAGGATTTTCTGTGGAGTAGACTAACATGTGTTTCCCATTTCAGGTTTTTATTGCTGTATCCTGTTTATTCTTTACTATGGTCTAACAGGTATATGCCATGTAGATCTAATGGTCACAGGCAGAAATCCCTGATTTGAATCAGGATGAAATCTATGGGGTCAGATAGTAAATAGATATTTCTATATATGGGAAGAAGGGCATATGTTCATGTGTGTAGCTGAAAAGGGTGAACAGCTTGGAATTCTTTCCTTTTGAATTTTTTTGAGTAGTTTGAGGATAGGTGTTAGTTCTTCTTTGAATGTTTGGTAAAACTTGCCTGTAAATCCATCTGGTCCAGGACTTTTGTTTGATGGGAGTTTTTTTTTTTTTTTTTTTCATTACTGCTTTAATTCCATTACTTGTTATCAGCCTATTTAAGTTTTCTGATTTCTCCCAATTGAGTTCTGGAAAATTATGTTTCCAGATATTCGTCCATTTGGCCCAGGTTATTCAGTGTGCTGGCATATAGATGTTTACAGCAACTTCTTAACAATCCTTTGTATTTTTATGGTATCAGATGTTACTCTGCCTCTTTCATTTCTGATTCTATTTATTTGGGTCCTATCTCCTATTTCTTTATGAGTCTGGCTAAAGGTTCATCAATCTTGTTTATCTTTTCAAAACCAGTTTTTGGTTGTATTAATATTTTGTTTTGTTGGGTTTTTTTGTTTAGTCTATCATTTATTTCCACTCTGACTTTATTATTTACTTCTACTTACTCTCGACTTTTCTTCATGTTCTCTTTTAATTCTTTTATTTGTAGGGTTAGAATGTTTACTACTATTTGAGCTTTTTCTTATTTCTTGAGGTATAAGCCTGTAATGCTATGAACTTCCCTCTCAGGACTGCTTTTGCTATGTCCCATAGATTTTGTGTTGTTGTGTGTTCATTTTTATTAGTTTCCAGGAAGTTGTTTATTTCTGTGTTGACTTTATCAGTAACCCATTCATGTACACCAATGAAAGAGTAAGATGCAAATTGACCATACCTTCAGGACACCCACCAGCCGATTAGGAGTGAGCATGCAAATTAATCCACCAAAGAATGTGGGTTAATTTGCATATGCAGGCGCTGAGGGGGCAGGGCGGGACGCTTGTGTTATCACCATGGCAATGACGCATGCTTCTGCACTGCCCCAGCCACTCAGGGCTTCTGGGCAGCATGGGAAGGCAGAAAGGTGGCTCCAGACCTGAGCAAAAAGGTAGCTCCAGCCAGAGCGAAGGCAATGCTGGCAGCCAGAGGAAGGAAGCCCCATTCTTGCACAAATCTTCCTACATAGGGCTTCTTCCTGCAGAGGGCCTCTCATTGTTTAATAACATACTAAATAGCCTCCATGTGTTTGAGTGTTTTGAGGTTTTTATATTGTAGTTGATTTCTAGTTTCATGCTCTTGTGATCTGATAAGATGCTTGATATGATTTCAATCTTCTTAAATTTGTATAGAGTTGTTTGTTTCCTAACACTTTGACCAGGGTAGTTCTTTGCTGTACCATGTTGTTCTATACAACCCTGGCTCCTGCCCACTAAATTCCAGTAGCACTCTTCAGTTGGTATGACCACCCAAAACACCCTCAGTTGAAAACCACTGTTCTATAACATTTAGAATCTTTAAGTTATAAAAGCCATCTTGCCTTTTCTATAGTAAGTCATATAAAAACATTTTCCAGTTGATGGTCTTAATTATTAATAAACTGTAATCAGATGCTGATAATGTGCTTTAGCTGAATTCTGGTTGGTTATTTAATTAGTTTATTTAATAAATAAGTGATAAAGGTTAAGATGGCCATACATGTTTTTATAATAATTTGAAATGAGAATCCTATTGTCTTCATTTAAAATCAAGAACTCCACCTTTGAAGTTAGCTGAGATAAAATATCCATGGAAGATTTGCCTTAAAACTCCATATATTCTTGTTACAAATTTTAGGGGGAATAAGCATATTAGTATTTAATTTTTTTTAAATTTTAATGATGTTAATTATTCCTTTCTTGTTTTGTTTTGTTTTTCAGAATTGGTTCCTAGGAAAGACCTTCTTTTAGAAAATGTGCCATATTGTGATACACCAAATCAGAAGCACTGAATTTCTAGGATAAAATCAAGACTTTATAATTTTTAATTTAAAAATATATACTGCAACATAAGTCCTAGAAATGCAGATATTTTTCTCTAAATTGGCATGTTGAAAATTAGAGTATAGTTTTATAATTAAATTTCCCATTTAAAAGACATTGCTGAAAACTTCAGGCCATAGCGAAGTATTTCTAAAGAACATTAAATAAGAAGATATTTAATTTTCATTGAAAAAAAACTTTACCAAGTGATATAAATGCTTAGGGAAATATATTCATTTTTCTTTGACCATGAATATTTTGCTCTTATTTTTTTTTAAATATATTTTTTATTGATTTTGTACAGAGAGGAAGGGAGAGAGATAGAGAGTTAGAAACATCGATGAGAGAGTCATCGATCAGCTGCCTCTTGCACACCCCCTTCTGGGGATATGCCCGCAACCAAGGTACATTCCCTTGACCAAATCGAACCCGGACCCTTCAGTCCCCAAGCCAACACTCTAAACATTGAGCCAAACCGGTTTCGGCTATTTTGCTTTTATTATAACTGTTTGAGAATGCTGTGTTTTGGCAAGTTGATGGGTTTTCCTCCCATGTAAAATGAAACCATTAAATTAAATTGACATTTAGTCCCAAACATACTACATTGGTCAAAATATCACAGTATATGGCCCTAGCCAGGTAGTTCAGTTGGTTACAGCATTGTCCTGATACTCTAAGGTTGCAGGTTTGATACCTGCACAAGGCACATATAATAATCAACCAGTGAATGTAAATATAAGTGGAACAACAAATTGATGTTTCTCTCTCTCCTTTCCTTTCTCTCTGTAAAATAAATAAAAAGTTTTTTAACAATCACAGTATGTGTTAACTCTCACAGAAAGTGGCCCTTGTTTTCAGAAGCACTGAAATGGTTTCTGTAGCTAACAAGCAATAGTTTCTTTTTACAGATAGAGAATATCTCTGTGTTCCTAAAAAGACACTTTTTAATCAGTCTTCTGAAAATAGATGATAATATATCAAAATCACCTAGTATCACCTATGTGGAATAAAAAATTTCTTTTTTTTTTTTCAAATGATCCTTAGTAAAACTATAGCCTAAGTAGAATTATCTTTTCTTAGACCACAGCGAGGCTTTATTGTAAAAATGTAATATATGACTATCATTTTTGTTTTTAAAATATATTTTATTGATTTTTCACAGAGAGGAAGGGAGAGAGATAAAGAGCTAGAAATATCGATGAGAGAGAAACATTGACCAGTTGCCTCCTGCATGCCCCCTACCGGGGATGTGCCCGCAACCAATGTACATGCCCTTGACGGGAATCAAACCTGGGACCTTCCAGTCCGTAGACCAACACTCTATCCACTGAGTCAAACCGGTTTTGGCTATCCTCTTCATTTTTAATCATTAAAACTTAAGTGGCTTTTCTTCAATATTTCTCATCCCTGAAGAGATTGGCAGTATTACAAAATAGTTTAGCTTTCTACCATTTAATGGTGGTAACTATGAAATTGTATTTAATATTATTTTTCTTTCTCTTTTATGAGTATCTTTACCATTTTGTTTTACTCAGTGAACAGTGTTTTCTCCCATTCACTGATTGATTCTCCCATTCAGTGATAACACATGATTTTACAAGATGCTTTGTTGGCAAAACATATTGTTATATCAACACTGTATATAAAATTTCATACTTAAGCCCTGGCCAGTGTGGCTCAGTTGGTTGGTGTCATCCTGTGCACCAGAAGATTGCTGGTTTGATTCCTAGTCAAGGGCATATACCCAGGTTGCAGGCTCCATTCCCAGTAGGGGTGTGTAGGAGGCAGCTGATGGATGTTGTGTTCTCACATTGATGTTTCTCTTCTTCTTCCTCTCCCTTCTCTCTCTCCTTCTCTCTCTCCATCTCCCTCTCCCTTCCTTCTCTCCCTCTCCCGCTCCATCTCTCTCCCCCTTTCCTCTCTTCCTCTCATCTCACTCTCTCTCCCTCTGAAAATCATTAAGCTAAAAAAAAATTAATATTTAAAAACAATTTTAGGAGATCAGAACATTATCAAAATTATTTAGATCTAGAATACTTAAACCAGAGACTACCCTTAATGCTTCCTAGTATTTTTTAGGAAATTAGTAGTCTATGGAATGGATTATACATGTCAAAAGGTTTGCTATTTCCCATGTATATTATTGTATATATGGAAATCATACCTACATAAAAATTAAATATATGTGTGTTCTGGATACTAATCCTGTGTTTGTTATCTGTGATGTAAATGTTTTCTTCCAATCTGTGACTCATCTTTTAACTCTGTTTATTATAAACCTAAAATATAGGAGTTTATTTTAGTGTATCCATTTTTTAAAATATTTTCCTTTATTAATTTTGCTTTTGTATCTTTTTAAGAAATTCTTCTCTACTCCAAAGTCATAAACATGTTGTAATACATTTTTCTCTGAATGTTGAAGTTTTGCTTTTTATATTCCAGCCTTTATGCCATCTAGAATTTATTTTTGTTTATGATATGAAGGAGGAATCTATATCATTTTTTATGGCAAAACAATTGGCCTCAGTATCATTTATTGAATAGACCATCCTTTTTCTGATTACGTATAAAGCAATCTTTATCATATCCTAAATCACTATACAGTTAGTTGACCCTTGAACAGCATGGGTTCGAACTGCACAGGCCTACTTATAAGTGATTTTTTTTTTTTTAGTGAATACCTATAGAGTTTTTGATTCACTATCAGGAATTTGTGGATGTGGAGAGCTGACTGTATGCATTGATCTGCACCATTTCATATAGGGGACTTAAGCATGTATGGGTTTTGTTATCTGTTGGGGAAGGGAGGTCCTAGAACCAATCCCCTGCACATTACCAAGGGACAACTTAAGTTTCTGAGGAGTCAAAAACTGTGCATAGATTTTTTTATTGCACAGGGGTTCAGCACATGGTCAACTGTATGTTGGGATTACTCTAACCCTCTTAGCTAGTCAAGGACTTTACTCCTATAATATTTATTACCAAACATTTTCCCCTCTCTCCACTAGATTATCCTTGCAACAGTATTCAACATTCTGAAATATTTCCCATCTTTTAAAAAAAAACTTTCTTGAAACCTCTCCTGCCCTCAAGCTTCAGCACGATTTATCGGCTATTTTGTCCTAGGAGGCCTCCGCATATCTACATCCCCATTTTCTCTTGTACAGATCCCAATCGAGATTTAATCCCATGCTGACATCTACCAAAAAAAAAAAAAAAATACTCCAGTTGACAGTCCACCTCAGCCCAGAGATGTTTGTAGAACTCTTTAACTCACAGCCATTCCCGCACCCCCCTCAGTCTGAGGATGTGTTCCTTGTGTAAGCTGATTGGGAAGCAGCACTGGTTCACGCCAGGACACAGGACTGCCCACGCGCTTTTCTTGTGTGGGGGCTGGGGCCTGTGCCTCCCGTGACAAGGCGTCCCAGGCTGCCCTGTGCCCTGCGCTCCCCATGCAGCCGTCCCTCTGCCTTTCCCAGCACTGGTGTCTTAGCTCACTTTCCTCCCTAAATGCATCATTTGCATATCAAATTCTGTAAATGTTTTGTAAACCTATTACCTCACTCTTGGTAATTCAATACTGATAGGCTTTACAAGATTTTTTTATTATTATCAATAATAAATGTGAACTGTTTAAAGAGAAAAAAAAATGATTTAATCCCAGGCACTTCTCAGAAATCCTTGTCCCAGTTACTAGTGACCTGTACTTGTTAAACGCAGAGGTCAAATCTCATCCTTATTTTATTCCTCCTCTCAGTAGCACTTGGCATAAGTGATTGTTCCCTCTTTTAATGGAGACCTAGACACCAATTTATTGTAAACCTACACAAGTAGGATACAGCTATGAACTGACCCTGTTCTTAGACTTCCCTGGAAAGACTGGCCTGTGTGAACCAGTTCCAGTACCAATGGGGGACCTGGCCGGAGATTGAAAGGAAGGAGGGTATGTTCTTAAGCTATAAACTTAAAAACATGTAACGAGGAACTAAAACTTGTGGAACATAATTTCTTTCCTGGCCTTGGAGCACAGAAACTGCTAAGGAAATTAAAGCAGGTTGACACAACTCTTAAATCCTCAGTACCTCTCCCCTCCCCCCACCAACTTAGAAGCATACAGAGGAATTATTACACCACCCAACGAGACATGTCAAAGGAACAAAGCAGCAGAATGGAGCCTCTTCATGGCACCACTGGACCTCAGCAGAAATTCCCAGGAGTGGGATGCCCTGACTGGGCTCCAACATAAAACATTAAAAGATCTCAGAAGAAATCAGAGCCTAGGTCATCAGCAGTCTTCCTGGGCCCCGCAGGGAATCTTCCTGCCCCATGCCCTTCAGGGCACAGGAAAAAAGTGGGCAGAAAAGCAACTCCTATATCTCGAACTATCTGGAAAGAAATGCAAGTCCTTGGTAAGAGAATATATAATTAGAATAAGGGGGAAAGGTGTTTTGTATAATGAAGAGAAATTTCAAAATATATGAAGCCAGTTTATAAAAGAAGCTCAAAGAATAGATAAACTAAGAATGAGGTGAAAAGACAGGAAACAAAATATACAAGGATCATAATAGACACAACAAAAAGAATTATTAGCACAAAGGAAAAATTTGAGATACAGAAAAAGCAATAAAGAGATCAAGATGACTAAAGTAATTAGAAGGTAACAGATATGGAAGAAAAAGACTAGCAAAAAAGATAATCATGTTTCTGGAATGAAAAGCCTAACAGACAGAAATAACTCAGTGGACTACTTAAAATAACACTTCCCTGGGTATAAAAATCTACCTGCAAATGCAAACATCCTCCTGTGATCAGGAGAATATAATATAGAATGAAACAAAAAGATATTCTTTAGCATGAAATTTCTTGGACTATAGAATCCTCTCTGAGAAAATGGAGTGTGAAAAACTCTTAAAGAAATGCAATAACAAAAAGATTATACAACCAGGGTAATTATAATTGTGTAATAGTC